TTAATTTGAATTGACATTGTGTATAGCCTGTCTCTTATACACATCTAGATGTGTATAAGAGACAGGTTATAACAATATTGAAATGATATCGATCTGATATTTTTTCAAACAAATATCTTTACGATATCATTTCGATATATTGAATTAATATTGAAATGATATCATTGCGATATCATAATGATATCATTTGCAAATCGATATCACCACGATATTTATTTAACATCATTATTATATCAATTCGGTATTGTTTAAAAATTCAAGGTTTCTGTAAAGTGGGTTTTGTTTATATTTTTGCAATAAGAATCTGAGGATGTTCTTTCTTTTTTTTTATATTTTAATTAAAATAAAATGTTTTAACATGATATTAGACTATTAGTTATTAATTATTAATTATTAAAATTTTAAAATTATTTTACGATTTTTTTTTTTTTTTTTTCATCGTTACTTATTATAAAAAAAAGGGGTAATTCCACAATTGATTTAGTTTAAAATTTTGTATCACGCATTATGTTCATCGTCTGATTATCTTTAATGGGATAATCTAATTATATCAAAATCAAAAATTTTTTATCTTTCAAGTGTTTTAATTACAGAATATGGGTGATAATACTGATATAAGACAAGATCAATCTTGCCTCTCAACTTCTGAGGATGAATTACCAACAAAACGATTAAAAAATAGCTGAAAAAAAAGGAGCTGGATATGGAATCATTTTGAAGAAGTAAATACTGAAGAGCAAACAGGAGATAAAGAAGAACCACTTAAAAGATGTAAGTTTTTAGATGCTAATGGAAAGGTATGCAGAGCTTTTTACATCAATGATGGTTCAACTGGAAATGCCATCAACCATTTATTAATTGATCACAAAATATCAAAGGATGGCGAAATTAATAAAGTTAGTCTTGTACTCTTATTAATTTTTTTATTTTTAAAAATCAATTTAATTAATTGATTGTTTCTATTATGCAGAATCAGCAAACTATTCAAACTGTTATGTGTATTCATAAACATAAAGACAATAGGCAAAAAGAACTTTGTAAATTTTTAATAGACTGGATAATTGATAATCTTCAACCATTATATGTTGTCCAAAGTCCTTCATTTTGTCGGCTTATTAGTGAATTAGATCTAGCTTTTATTATGCCAGATGAGAAAGGTATTAAGAAAGTTATTGGTAATGCTTATAATTATACTTTACCAGCATTAATTAAAAAAATTAAGCTAGAGGCAAAAAACATTTCATTAACCACTGATATGTGGACTTCAAGGGGTGGACAAGGATATATAGGCTAAGGTTGCTTGCTGAAACCTAGGGGTTTAGGCAAGATGACGTTTCACTGAAAAGCGAAATTCTGCCAAAACTATATTAAAGTTATATTAAAAAACTGGCAAAACTTTGAAGAAAGGCGAAACTGCCAAAACTTATTATAAATGCCAAAATTGCCAAAACTCTGCCAAAACTATAATAAATCTATAGTAAAATTTTGACGAAACTAATTGTAGGATTTTGAAGAGGTTTAGACAAGCAACCTTAATATAGGCATTACATGTTCCTATATTGATTCCAATTTTAATCTTAATGAAATTACATTGACTGTTAATTATGTTCGATACCCTCATACAGCTCAGCATATTACAGAAAGTTTAGAAGAAATATTAGAAAAGTGGAATTTACGTGACAAAGTCTTCACAATTACCACAGATAATGCAGCTAATATGAAGAAAGCTATTTCAAATATGAATGCAGTTGAATGGCAAGGATGTAGTACTCATACATTGCAACTTATTATTGAAAAAGGCTTGGTTCCTGTAAAGGCATTAATTATGAAAGTAAAATGGTTAATTGAATTTTTTTTGCGTCTTAAACAGTCAAAACGCTTGGAAGACATTCAAAAAAAATATCCAAATGCAAATAAGAAAGATACTGAAGATTCAGAAACTGATATAGAGGATGAATAAGAAAAAAATATTGTAAGTTTTATTGAAAATTAAAAAATCACTTTTATTTGTAAGTTATGAATTTAATTAATAACAAATTTTAATTTTAAGATGTTAAAGATACAGCTAAATATCTTTATTTAATCAATGATATAGCAACACGTTGGAATTCTAGTTATTTTGCATGGTCATGTTTGATATATTTCAGTTAAAAGAGTGGATTAAAATATTGTGTAATACACTTTTAATTGATTCAGATCTAGATTCAAAGAAAGATGGTAATAAATTAAAGGAAATAATGATTTCAGATCATAAATGGAACCTTCTTACTGATTTAAAAGAAATTTTATCATTATTTGCAGAAGTAACAACAGAATTAGGAGGAAGTAAATATGTAACAAACAGTTTACGTATACGAATGTTAATTGAAATTATTAATACTCTTACAACTAATCCATCAGAAAATTACACTAATAATGATGAACAAGAAGATGCATTTGAAGATGAAGGAAATTTTAATATTAGTAAACCAGTTCTTACTTTTAGTTTACTTGATGAAGTTAAATCAAAATTATATGCAAATTTAAAAAAATATTATCCTACACTTACTACTGAAATTTTAATTCCTTCAATTCTTGATCCCAGATTCAAAAGTCTTGATTTTGCTCCTAATGAACAAAAAATCAAAACTGAATAGTATTTGCATGAGTTATTTGAAAAAGAAAAAGGAGGTCAAAAAGAAACATCTAATAATTCTCATATATCTAGTGGGTTAAAACCAAAAAAAAAAGAAATCTTTAATGGAACAACTTACTAAAGATAACATAGTAGCTTTTAATGAAATCAATGAATATTTACAATTACCTGAAATTCCTTTGGATTCAAATCCTCTTCTATAGTGGAATGAGTTTCCTATATTAAGTAGTCTTGCTCAAAAATATTTAGCGGTCTCTGCAACTTCAACTGCAAGTGAACATCTCTTTTCTGATGTAGGGAATCTACTAACTAATAAAAAAACATGTATAAAACCAGAATTATTCAAAAAAATCATGTTTTTGAAAAGAAATGTATATAATTTTGAAACAATTCATCCAGATAATTAATATATAGTAATATTAAAATAGTTAGGTAACTTAGATCGTTTTAATATCATTTTTTTGTTTGTTATAATGCAACTATTTTAATAGTACAATAAAATCAATAAAATATATAACTTTTATAAATACATTATTTTTATGAAAGTATTGAATAATAAAATTTTATGTAATCGTTAAATAAATATCTGTTATCCATCCATTAGCATCCCATTATCCATTCGTTAGCATCCCGTTAGCATCCCATTATTTATGTATTTACCCATTAATCACCTGTTATCCATCTGTTAATACCCTATATCCATCCATTACACATCTGTTAATCATCCGTTAAGATAACGGTTAATCTGGATTGAACTTGATAGCAAACCGGATTGAAAATTCATTAACCGATATTAATCCAGATTGAATTTTTTCTAATGGGTAGATCCGGTTTATCCATTAACAAACTGGTTCTAAACACTATGAAGGATAAGGAAGCTGATTACCAAATTTTCACATCCAACTATATGGCTTAGATCTACCTTTTTTACTTGTACTTTGATTTCTGATATTATCAGATATCAAAAGAAGATCAAAAGCTGAATTATTTTTGTTATTAGCATCATGATATTCATCATAATTAATTGAATTAGTATCATTTTCTATTTCAATTATATTACATTTTTGGGAAGACATTTTAGAATAAACGAAATTTTTTTTTAAATCAAATAAATGATGTCTTAAATATTGAAGTTTGGCATGAAAACTAATTAATAATCATCAAATTGTGACATTCTAGGATATCTGGATTATAATCAATAAATATCTGTATTTATTTTAATAAATCTGGATATCCTATATAAGAGTAACAGAATATATTCTTAATTCTAGGATATTCATTGAATAAGCCATTAGGATCATTCATCGAATCTAAACTCTAATTCAATTACTAATATAAATTATTAATTAAATGGTATTCCACTGATAAGTATAATTAATCTAAATATAAATAATTATAAATACAGTCGACTTACATTATAACGAATTTGATGTTCAGGCCAATCTGACTTTCATTATAAGAAAATTTGTTATTATTATAGGAAAACCTAGTATAATAAGGGAAAATTTTATATATTGCGATATATCGCATTACAATATAATGTGAATGATTTCAAGTCTTACTGTGAAAATTACATACACTGAAATATAATTTAAAATAGTTACTTTTCTATATATTTTCTTTTATAAATTTTACATATATTCTATTGCCACAAGTAGTAACCATTTAAAATTCAAAATTTTTATAAAATAGTGTGTTATTATAATATAAAATTTGTTACAATGTGATTCATTTTGTATATACTGTTTTAATATACACTTTACTTCGTTAAACAGTATATAGCATTTAATTATTAAAATTCAGTATATAAGATTTTTTTTATATGTCAAAATCTGTATCACAGTGAAATCTGTTGTACTAAATAATTCGTTATATCGAATTCGTTATAACGCATGCCAACTGTAAATATAATTATAAATAACTATTGTATAACAAATATTATATCATGTAGATTATTTTATCCTTCTAATTATTTTATCCTTCTAATTATTTTTTCTTTGATTAATTATTTATCCTTTGGTTAATTATTTATCTATTTCATTCAGTATATTATTTATTCTTCAAATAATTATCACGATATCTAGGGTTATAATAGGATCCCAGAAACTCTATATAAAGGTTGGTCTAAATTTTGAGAAATTTACTATTATCTTTACCCAGTTTAAGCTAAAAATTTACTATTATCATTACCCAATTTAGAAATAACCTGAAATATTTTTCTAATATATATTAGAAGTTTGCTATTTATCACTGACGGTAATCATAATCAGTATCATGTGATTATAATTAGCAAGTAAATTTATTGCAAAACATCAAAGCATTCATTTTTATTTATTAAATTTATAATCATTTATATTTAAAATTAACAGACAATAAAATACTGCTAAATGTTTAAAATTACGAACTCTAACCTCCAAATCCTAACTAAAGTTTACACCCATTCGTTCTTTATTCTATATCTCATTAATCTCTAAACCCGCTAATATTAAACCAATCAAATGTTACATAATGTACAGTACATAGCATTTTTTTTCCACAATAAGTGCATATTTTTCCACAATGAAAGAAGAATCTTTGGAATTTGGGTCTAGCTACCATACCAAAAAAACACATTTACTAAACAAGAGCTTTGTTTTTTGCACAGCTTCTGATATTATGACCTTTTTCTAAGTAATAACTACACCTCTTGGAAGATGAAGTTATATTTTGTTTATTGGTCATTTCCATTTGCGACTTATAACATTTTGGAGGATGGCCTTTTGGCTTGTGATACTTAGGATTTAATATCTCTGAAATATTCTTATTATCTACTATAACCAATGGTTTTAATAGTTGCCGTTAGCAATTATTCTTCATAACATCATAAAAAAAGGCCTCTTGAATTTTGTTGATATTTAGTCCTGTGTTGTTTTAATATTTCATTATAAATTGAGAGAGAAGTCTAGTAAGTTCTCCCATTGCACCTTTTACAGCAATTTGAACACTAGTCTTCACAATAGATATCGTATTACCAAATTTGATCCTTTTATCAATTTTTTTCTTAACAGTTGATGTATAAACATTACCACTTCGAATTTGATCAATGTAATACACCAGTTTGCTTGAGTAAGTTTTATTTCCTTGAGCAATTGTAACATAATTTGATGTTTTAGGTGGTGTAGATTCAAACTAATGCGTATAAATGAAACCCATATGGAATAATGCTTTATCAGATTGAAGTAGAATCTGATACTGATATTGACATGGCATCCCTTGGTTAATAATATACATGTATGTATAAAATGATGTTGAATCTGCAAGAATTGCTACGTAGTAGAGTTTAGCTGTTAAGAATATCATCGTTATATAGTGAACTTTCCATATTTCCTGGATTTCATTATTATTTATGTTTGATAGAAATTCTTGCAGCTTGATTTACATGCGGAATGTCATACATATGTTCAATAATATCCTTCAAAATATCAGGTTTACTAATCTTTTAATATGTATATCAATTGGATTAGCATACTACTACCGAATATTATACTAAAAGATTAAAAATTTGTTTTATAGCCACTCACCTGATCTATTGTGATTAATGATCCCTGGTATAATAATGCCTGTTTTATTTGTGCTCTCTAAAATGACAATAGTATAGATATTAAACACTCTTTTAATATAGAATTGATGTCTTTAAAGATGGTTTGATATGTTGATGAAAGACTGATTGATGGATTTGACCTATAATAATTATTAAGACAGCTGTAATATACTTCTTTGTCTAATTCACATTCAACTTCTTTTACTAGCTCCTTTAAAAGTGTATCTTGATCAAGATGCTTTTTAAGAACACCATTAATGGATTCAACCCATTGAGTTGATTTAATCTCTGCTGTAAATATCTTCCCGATGATATACTTCGCCCATAACTTTTGACTTGAATAAAGTTTATTTTCAAGATAAGCTCAGCATGGCTCATATTTTGTGAGCATTTCTTTATATCTTAATTTGAATTGACATTGTGTATAGCTATTGCACATGTGGTAAAAATCCTTAATGAAATTATTGATTATATCACCATACAATTTAGACTTAGCTTTCTTCTTTACATTTTCTGCAATATGGTAGATACATAGCAAGTGTTGAGTTTGTGAATAAGTCATTTAGACAGCGACTAACATTGCTAGATCTCCATTTGTAAATAGTACAATTGATAAGAGATTACTTGTGACTTCTAATGTGCATTACAGTATCCATTTATAATCAGCCAAAGTTTCGTATTTTGTTAGTGCTTGAACGAGGATCCTTGTTTTAAAGTTGCTGTCAATACCAACAAATAAGCTAAGAGCTATTTTGTATCAATTTGTTTTAGCTATATTATCATGTATGATAACATCATGATATTTAGGCCAAAGCTTATTACGTTGCTGACTTGTTATCCAAAAAAATCTGGTTAATTCATTAGAAGGTCTTTCTAATCGTATTTTAACAATAAAATCGTGATTCTTGTTATGTTATTTCATAAAATATAAGAACATTGTTTTTGCATTAAATTTATCATAAATTCTAACTTCTCAGAATTTTTGAATTGCATTATATAGGTTTTTTTTCTTTATATACTGTTGAGGAAATTCTTTAAGAAGAAGATCGTACTGTTGTTCAGCACTTAAATGTCCATTGACAGTATAATGTTCAATTTTATCCAGCATTGCTTGTGGAAAACATTGATTCTTAAATGCAAGCTCTATAGTTACTGGATCACATTGATGATTATGGACATTATTGAATTTACTAAGATGTATAGTGGCTGTGCGTTTTCCAAAATAGAATGATGCTTGCCACAGACAATTTGTTTTGGTTGTAGTAGCATCACGATGTAAAGTAATATCCTTTATCTTCTTCAATTTATTGATTCATGATTTCTAACAAGTATAGACACGTTGCTGAACAATCATTTTATCAACATTATTAAGGTTTTTACAGATTTTAATAGCAATGAACCCAGTTTATCTTGCATGCTGATTGATAATTACATCAATTTCATTTCAGTCTTTAAAGGTATCGTTAACTTTTAGTATTACTTTGTTAACATTTATGTCATTAATATAATTTCCATTTGTAATACTTTCAAATTCAGTTGGTATATTTTCGTTCATATCATCTATAATTACCATGTTTGTAGTTTGGAATGATGACTGAGCTTGATATTTGAACTCCATAGGCGGCATAAGGTAGAAATTTTCAAGTTTATCAAATATCAAACGTATTTGATACTTCTTTAGTATCTAAGTCTTTTCTTATTGATGTAAATTAGGAAGGTAAAGAAAATTCAGACGTCTAGTATGGAAAAAATCAATAACAATAACATAAATATTCTATCAAATACTCTACTAAACTTACAAGAAACTAGCAATAATCGTTAGTCAAGTATAATCTTTGTTAACAAAGAATGAAGGGTTGTAAAGACTCAAACAGATGGCCAAAAAGGCTGAGTGGAAAAAATCAATTGCAAACAATACTACAATAAACAATAATGCAAATCACGTGATAAGGAAATAGGAACAAAATCAATTATGCGCTTATACGCATATGTAATACATATTTGTATAACATAATATATAATAAGTAATTGTTATTGTATATGTTCTATGTAAGCACTGGACATTTTTCACGTATGTTATTGATCACTTTATAATAGTGATACACAAATTTTGGTCACTTTATAATTAGTGATATACAAAATTTTGATCACATTATTATAAAATAATAAATAAGATACGCGAAAAAGGTCTCAATTGCTTTACGTCATACATATCCAATAACTTTATTATCAGTCATGTTTATGATAACTGATTTACCACTAGGATTGCTATGTATATTATATGGCGAAGGCCACATGATAGAGTAGCATCCTAGTGTAAATCAGTTATCATAAACATGACTGATAATAAAGTTATTGGATATGTATGACATAAAGCAATTGAGACCTTTTTCGCGTATCTTATTTATTATTTTATAATAATGTGATCAAAATTTTGTATATCACTAATTATAAAGTGACCAAAATTTGTGTATCACTATTATAAAGTGATCAATA